AATATTTTCTATGTTTTTTATATATTTTCAGTAGTCTTTAAGTCTTTATTTTGAAATTGTTTCTGTAAAATCTCCTTAAATGTTAGTAACGTTACACAGAATGACACGATTCCAGTTTAAAAAAAATATATATTTTAAATATAAAATTATTTCTAAATTATAAATTTTCGAATTTCTATTTATTCCAGAAGTTATTATCTTTAGAATTTTTTTAAAGGTTTTTTTTTAAACATTAACTAGAGAATCAGACTAGCGTAAGTAGTCGATGAAGCAGATAATTTGACGATTGTCTTAGTCATTGTCTGTATGTTTGCATTACTTCCGGTAATGAGTAGTTGGTCCTCCCTGGCTTTAATATTCAATTGTAGTAGTTCAAAGATGTCATTACGTATAGAGTATTCCCCGAATGATGCGTGTTATATTTAAATCATGGGTGAAATTACTAAAGCGAATAACGTAGAAACAACCCTCTTTACAAATCCAAAACCCGTTTCTCCACGCGAATTTCCAGTTGGGCGTAAATTAGCGATTTAACGAGGCAATCTAAATTCATTTCCTACAGAATAACATGAACGTTAGGTATTATATAAAAATATATTTTACTGCCTTTTCCATCTCTTCGTGTAGTACGTTTTCTAAACTTTTTCCATGTCTTCATTTTGAATTAATCTTTCAATATTTATCCTAATAAATGATTTACGACGTTTTTATTTTCCTACGTCGTTAATATTTCCAGTAATAACGGTAATTCGTGAAAGGAAAACTCTTTAAGAGCAGCTGTTGTTTGTTGAGCTCCTGTAAAGGTATCTTCCCGCAGTGATAGCAATTCACGCAGGAAAGACTCTTTTACAGGGGCTGAATTCTAATAATGTATGTAAAGCGTTAGTAATGATATTTATTACAACGTTTAAACTTATATTTTAACACCATAATATTATAAAAATACGGTTAAATGTTCTTAATAAAGAATCTTCTCACTAACAAACCTATAAATATCCCTAAACTTTCTAGTAATTGAATAAAACTTCTATCATTTTTAATTCGTGTAAGGTAGGTTAACAATAATATAAATAACAAGAGAAAGCTTTATTAGTTAATAATAACGTAAGGTTTATACATGTAGAATAATTGTTAGAATAAAGCGTATAAATGTATGTATCTTAATCTAGAATAATCAATGTAAGAAACGAGAAAAAATGTATGCATGTATGTAATATAAAATCGTGACAAATGATTTTATTAAATCAAGTAATTTTAAAGTATATTCGGTAATTCTTCTACTACTAAAGATATAATACTATCTGCATTAAGTTTAGCTTTATACATAAGTTATCGACAGTTAGAAAGGATCGAATGGGTGGCATCTGCACGCAAAAGAATAATATTAAATTATTAAAAACCGATATTAAACAATCGATACTTTTTTTAAATATACAAAGAAGAAGATTTACGAGAGAAAATAATTTGAAACAAGTTATAAACTGAATTTACTGACTTTATAAAGAGACCAATACCGAATTTTAAAATAGGAAAATAAGATATATACAAATGCAGAATATCTGCTGATTGATGTAGAGAAATTTTGTAACTGAAAGACATTTTTCTTGAAGTTAGAAAATTTATCGACTGTAAGACGAATGTCATATATTCAAAAAAGATACTCCAGATCAATCGGAGAGACTTTCACATACCACGTCAAAAAAATTGAAAATATTTAAATAAATTTTTATAGTTTCTTTCTATAGGATAGACCGTTGACAAGTCTACGTTTACTTCTAGTAATGGTGATCGAGAGAGGGAGAAGAAGTCCTAAATAAGTAAACTTGATCTTTTTTTTATGTATAATAATTGTTTTTATTTATAAATTGTTCGAATCTCTAAAAAATTCTATACAATGGTGTAATCTAAATCCTATCATAATTGGATATTTTCAACGTAAATACTATACACTATGGAGATGTTGTTTATACTTTCTCACCCGCCCTATTATAGATGTAGCATCTTTAAAGCAATAAATCATTATTAGTTGATGTAAAATTGCTTTCTCGTATCTTTATCTTTAATTTTTTCAGAAATCTGAATTAGAAAAATTCACTAAAATCGACTAGTTTTAATATTAAAAAATTATTTTTGAATTTTCTATCGATTTTGTTTCATCACTTTCTAAATGTCAAATGTTATAATACGAATAATTATTATACAGCAAATAAAGATTTTGTTTGAATCAGATAAACCAGATCTATATATTATTTAATTAAATTGATTAAAAACTCGGAATTGTGACTGTTGAAAACTCGGATTTTTCAACAGTCACATATTAGCTTAGTTTGAATATTATTTGCAATTATTTAACTGCTTTCTGAATCAAAATAACTGTTTTCTTCCATTAAATTATCACTTCTGAGCAAAGGATCTCATTTCCCGATGCAACTCTATCGGTATTCCGTGTCATAATTCATTTGATGCATCTACTCCTCTCTTTTCTCACATAATACATCCTCGAGATATAACACATCCTCATTTCTTCTGTGATAAAGACGTGATAACGTAACACTTAATTGATTTTTCTTTAATCGTTTCTCATATTTTTTCCTCTGTAATAAAGTGTAGAGTTAATCGATATTAGTGGTAATAATATTTATTCTGAATTAAAGAATTCACTTCATTTTCCTGGCTTTTACTCAATTTATTTCTTTGATATAACATTGAAAATACTCAAAATGTAAACTCTATCTCCGAATTATTTATCGACTGTAGAATGCTTTTCTTTATCATCTTCTAGTGACCATCATACACTTAGTTTACTTCAGAATAATTTAAATAACGATATAGATTCAATGTTTACGTAAGATTCTTAACTGAGGTAGCGAAGGAACTTGTCTTTTTATGAATATAATCTGAAAATGTACTTAATTTGATGGATTCGAATAGCTTATAAACTGATGTCGATAGGCACTTAACACAAAAGAGATTATTCTGGAGAACAGAGTACGATGTTTTTTTTTAGATGGCCCTCCGTTTAGTTAAAGTCGAATATTAGCTTTGGACGAAATCCAGGTGTTGTTGGGCGGTAGAGGTGAGAGACGGCCCGCAGAGGGAACGAGAAGAGGGGGATTTCGTTATCCGAACAACCTTATTGGGTGTGAAAATCACAAGGCGCTAATCTAAGGAGCGCCGCCAGCGAGACTGGTGAACGATTAGCTTGTCACAAGCGACTCCTCTTCTTATCAGTCAAGCACCTCGGTCCGGAGGAAGCGCTCTTCCATCCACTAATTCCGGAGGTAGTCGATCTTCCGCGCTCGCCTGGAAAACTTTCTTCGCGCCTCGATTGCGACTAACACGACACGCGACAAATGTCTACCCTTTCGCTCCGTTCCTCTCTCCTCTTCCTTCTTTCCACTGTAGCATAATCCTCTCGATGACCGCATCTTAATCTATTTTAATTTCAATTAAGTAAACACGCGATTGACTAATTTTTTTTCGCTTGTTTTGGTGAATTCCGCGTGACCTTTAACCCCTTCCGAAAGCGTATTCTTCCAGAAAATTCAGAATATTTTGTGAAAATGGTGATTCGGCGCCGGACGTGGATCGGATTTCCTTACGCTTCTTTGGAAAAACATCACTGGAGAATTCGCAGTTTCGGGTGACGATTAAAATAATTAATTCGGTGCGGGTCGATTCCCTCCCTCTCGAAATCCTATCCCACGGACTCTCTACTCTCTAATTATCGCTTGGAAGATGGTGAGACCATCTTTTGAATTGATAAAACCGGTTGAAACCGGTTCTCGGTTTTCCAAATCATAATGACGTCTCGACTCTCGATGTGGCCCGCTTGGAAATGATTTTCTAGAAGTAATGAGGTTACGTGGTATTAAAATTATACAATAATTATTCCCGGATGCAGTAGAATTTATTTAGTAAACGTCCAGTTACAAAACTTTTAATTGGTTCAGCCGGTAAACTGATTATCGATTCGATAAAAGAGCTCTTTTATAGGGCAAGAAGGGTGATTTTTTTAAAAAGAATACAAAAAGAGTTTAAAATCATGTACGACTCTGTTTAAAAATTAATACAAGAATAGAAAAGCTTAGAAATGTGCTAAACAAAGCGTAAGATAATCCAAAATAATCCACAACAAAGCAATAAAAATAGCTCAACGGACAAAAGAAGTTGTCTTCAGCGCTTAAGAGACAAAAGAAAATTATGCGGAAGTATTTAAAATCTTAAAAACTCTAAAGCAACTTTGGAAACTAATTAAGAAATTACGTAGGAATATTTTAAAAAGTAGTAATAAAAAAAAATCTAGCGTAGCATCTGATAATAAGGTAGGAAAAATCATTAGAGAATGGTAAAATCTTCCGCATCAGTTATTTCATCTTAAACGATTGTTCACTTTTAAGAGAACTTCCATTTTCAATTTTGGATAAATTAACCGGATTTTAGCGATTTTAGGTACAAATTTTAGGTATCAGAGTCAGTTTATATGTGTTATTTTTGTATTAAATTAAATAATTTAACTGGAAAATGCTTCAAAAATATGGACAACTTTACTTTAAATTCAAACTAAATTTTCAGATTTACTTGTTGAAAACACAAAAATTTCTCAAAAATTAATTGAAAAGTAAAAAATTACCTTTAAAGTGCACGAAATTAAATTAATTAAACATAAAGAATCAATACATAATCATTTATAGATAAGTTAGGAAAGAGATCTCCTTTTGATGCTGTTGGAATACGGGAATTGAGAAGAGAACGATGTAATTATGATGTATGAAGCAATAATTTGTCTGACAAAATATCTTCAAAACTGAACAATGCTTTACGTATAAATGACACTTTATCCTTTCGCAATAACAATCATTTAAGTTGTCCCTAAAGGTCGATTTTAGGTCTCAATCTCTATATAAATGTTCTCTTTAATAGCTACTCTTAAAGCTTTAATCTTAACTAATGTCGATACAAGTATATATATATATAATTTAATAAATTAAACATCGCTTATAAATAAATGAAAATTATATCTTTTAATTCATACGGTTGGTTTTTTAAAATTACAATTCTCCATTTATTACTGTCTAGATCGAAATTTCCGATTGAATTCTGAATAAATTGATGCAGCATTGTTTAACCTGCAGCATTTTCCATCCCTTTATAATCCCTAGGATGACGTATGGCATCGTCTTTCTACGAAACAAATCACGTTCTTGGAACTAATAAAGAAAGATGATATTCTCAGTGTTACAATGCTCTTTGGAATTTCATTTTTTAAATCATTAAAATAAGAACTTTAGTTATTATCATAAGATAAATACACTCTGTTGGATATATTTTTTTTAAATATAAAGATGTCGAACAATTAATTCAATATAAAATGGCATTTTATATTAAAATTTTAAACTTCTACAACTCTATCTGCATTAAATAATATTCGTACTTTTTTTTATATTATTGATTAAAGGAAAACTCACTTTGCCATTCTTCTGTTAATTTATCATTTCGAATTGAATTTTGTTGTATTCTTCCACTGCATTAAGCGGACTTTTCCATCCTCAAATCCTCTTAAATCTCGTATAGAACGAGTTTGTCTCTGAAATTTATAGAAGTAATATAACACGAAGCTATTTCTCTCGAGAAAATCGAAGATTCTTGAAGAATTTAAAAATCAGAAGATGGAGAAGAACGAAAGATTTTCCTCTTCCTCATCTTATACCGAAGATCGTTTTAATATTATAATAACTGGAAGATTGTAAGAAGAGAGGGAAATATTCTCTCACCTTTACTGTGTTAAATTGATGAAGATGAAGACAAAATTTACGAGAATTTGACTAGTGTTTTTAGATTTCTAAGTTTTATCATTATTACTTAAACTAATTAAGATTATAAATAATATTTTCATCTCCAAACTGGAAGTTACGACTTCGTTAGTAGGCACTTTTCTTCTCTTTAGAATAAAGAAGATACTAGAGATGGGTTAGGTTCACCAAACCGTGAGAGATACAATCTTTATAGCTTGTATCGTGACTAGATCACATTTCCGCATTCGCTCTCCGTAAAATATATCATAGAATATCTGATGTTATCCACTTCTCATGCTCTCCAAGATATACGTCGTGACTGTCACTAGAGATCACGCATCAATCGCAACTTATATCGACTATAAAACCTGGAAGTTAAATGTTATTCTACAAAATTTTCATATCTTTAGCTAGATTATACGCTTGTAAATGTGTACTATACTGTACATAACGTAGTATGCTGTAAAATTTTAAAATGTTTTCAAGTTTATTCATTCAGATTGCAATTTTTTTCGGTGATGAAGTAGATAAAATGCGAATAAAATAGACAAAAATACGAAGGGATTTGTGTAGAAAATTTTATACAGAAGGCTGCAGATTAGTTTTTTTTTAATGCATGATATATAGCGAAGTTGAGAGCTAAACTACTTTACTAAGAAATAATTTTCAGCTTTCTGGTACACAATACAGTGTAGTGAGCTTAACACTAGAATGGCTTCGTATGGAACACGTCCAAAATTGCTAGATTCTTATCATATATAAATTTCTGAAGAATAAATCACCTATAGTTAATGCTTAATTAGGATGCGATTGGAACACTTAAAGAGTTAATTCGAATCTAATTTAATTGTCATTATAATAAAGAGGTTAGAGAAAGAGAGTAGCCAAAAAAGGGGGATTTCTTTGTGTAAACAACATTATTGAACCGCTAACGGGTAGTCATTTTTCAAAAAAAAAAAGAATTTATAACCTATTTTTTTGTCAACTGACACCGTCGAGAGAGGAATTCGCGATATATCATATGATATTTTATCACAAATTGTTGATAAAATCAGAAGTTTTCTGGAGGTTTATTCGTCTAACAACTCGACAGAAGACTTTCTAAGTTTGTTTCTCTCTCGTTTGCACTTGGTAAGTCAGTACTAACGTCGTGAAATCCGAGTTTTTCTTTTATAAATCTTTAGAAACAACCAGCTATTACCAAGCGTAAGTTTTAGAGATCTTACGTTATCGATTGGAAAATCTTGTACAACGTTTGCATTTGGTACATCCTCTTATGATAAGTTGCAACTTCGATTTTTGTGCGTAATAAAGTGACATTACATAAGATTTTGTAGTAAAATTTCGAGAAAAATGTGAAGAATTACTAATTTAATATTATAAAAATATATTATAAGGTTGCATCTATCTGAATTAACCAATTATAATTAAGAATAATAGCCTTTTTTCTCTATTAAATTTTATATTTGGATGACTCTTACCATGAAATTTTCATCACTCCATTACAAAATGATGGATTTATGCTAAGATTACACCACTGATAAGTTTTAAAAGTTATATATATATCATATATCATGCCTTAAACTATTGGTCTATGAGCATCTTTAGAGCATTGTATATTCACTTGAGGATAGTCGATAGATTCTAATACAGTAGGGAGTTAAAAAAGTGTATTATTTTCTTGTAAAAAATTGTAGTAGTATGGAAGGAAATGAAACTAGCTCATTGTGTACGACTGTGATAATGTTACAGGCCATCAACCCGCATCATGGAAGTGTCAAATGATACGGTACATGCCGTAGAGAATAGTAGAAAATTTTCGAATATATTGATCATAAGAAAACAAAAATTGCTCTTCTCTGTTTTTCTATTGGTTGAAGAACAAAATTAAAACTCGTCGCAGTCGGTAGTGGTTTGCATTATTAAACGAATCGAACGTGTCTCCTGTGGGTTAAAAGTCGAACAACATCGATTTATACGAGAAAATTAAACCCCTTGGCCGAGAAATTAACATTACTAGTTTGGAAACTTCATTCAAATAAAACACACTCTTCTAGTTTTAGGACGTTGGAAAATTAAAGCGAAGTGACAATTTCTTCTAAAAGGAGCCACGAAAATATTTTCTGGTGATAAAATAAGAGTGAATTCTTGTCATTTAAACTCATTCAAAACAACAGGAGAAGAATTTATTGCTAAGAATTTTGATAATCTTTAACTCTGTATTCAATTTAGAATAAGTCTAGAGCATTTCTATCGAATGATATTTAATACTGAACGTTTAAATTCTTGTTATATTAAATGTTAAAATCTCGAATACTAAAGGAAAAATTATGTTTTTTTATGCGATTTCTATCGTGTTATAAAGACAATCGCCATAGTTTATGGCCACTGACTAACCGTTCGTTTTATCTAAGAGCAATTGAAAGTGAAATACTTTGATTACTTTCAATTTATTTTTCCAATAAATATTGTATATATATTAAATTGCTACAATACTTTTAGATGAGTTAATTATAAAACTTTGATTTCTCTAGCAATTGCGATTCAATTAGTCTCAACAAGACTAATTGAATCGCAATTGAATTAGCAAGAACGACTCTTTGAAGAGTCGTTCTTGCTAATGAACTACAAAGAAAAGAAAAAAGCCAATTAGTAGTTGCTTTCGTTTAAAATTATATGATTTTATGTGATTCTATCATATTAAATGAACTGGAAAAAGGAATCATTTATTAATATATAACGAAGATAATACATCCTTTAATACAAAATATGAAAGATGTACAGAATATTACACTTAATTTCTATGTACTTTTGCTTAAAAAAATAATTCGAAAAGAAAAAAAAATGGACAAAAAGAAGCGATAAAATCACCTGAAACTATACGAAGAGAAAATAGAAAGTGCTTCTGGCTTTTCCTTTAAACTCCGTTGTCGTGCAGGAAATACACATTTACAGGGGCAAAAGTTTAGTCTACGAGGAGGATGGTTTGTTAGAAATTTGGACAATAGCCTAATAACGATGCTATTGTTTATGTATTGTTATTGTTTCGTAAAATAATTGTTTATAGATATTAACTATTGTGATTTATCTCTTACTTTTACATATTTAGACACGTAAACGTTAAAGAAAAACTTTATTCTTTACCTTGGTATTGTAATCTTTACGATTGTGTTACGATGTTTAAAAGTAAATAGGACGTGACGTTAAGAAATTACAACCCATTTTCTCTTAAGAAATATTTCTATAGACGGTCACGAATTTTGTTACGTATCTCGTTTCCATGGATAAAGATAATACGAATTTCCACTTATAGATTAAAGAAGTGTTATGACATATGGGGTGTGTTTTTCGGTTTTTTAGAAGCGATTGACCTCACAAACTGATAATTTATAGCCCACTCTATTGCTATTTCATCTTATATGTCACGTAAATGTTTGATCTTTGAGATGAAGAATATTTTCTTATAATATGTTTGAACGTATTCGTCATTTTAACGTTACACACAGAGCGTTATTTTATAATTTTAAATTATTTCGAGCCTTTTTAAGAGTATCAATCCCAATACTTAATCTGTAATTTCTTTAAATTTAACGTTTAATTGATATTTATCCGGTATAAAATTTGAAAAATGAAAGATTATTTCTCGACAATCTTCCAAACATTATCTGCCGGAAGTGATGGAAATATCGACGTCACTCACATCAAAGTCGCGGCTGTCTATATAAAGAAAAACTTATCATCGATCGAACACCTGCCGTCAACAACCTTGTGACTTTTGACACGAAAACAATAAAGCTGGACTTTTAACAATACTTAATCATCTGTTTTCTTTTTTTTTTCTGTATCAAAGCATTTAAAATACGATTACAATCCTAAAAACAATAGAAAAAAACGTAACTAATTACTTTTCTGACGTATAAAAAATATTTCAAAATTATCTAAATTGAAATTAGGTTAATTAATTTTGCTATATCTAAACACTATTAAGTTTTAAAAAAATAATTTCCTACAACTATAAATATTTTAAACTTTAGCTGATAAATCCTCTGTTTGTATACTAAATTCCGTTCGTCTGCCTGTCAGCTGCGATAACTTCCATTAAGAAAATTTAACTGAATTTAAAACTCTTCGAGTGTTTAATGCATTTGAACTTAATCAATGGAAAGCTAGAGACTGTCTGTGTGTCTAACCGGATATACTTTTACTAGTATACGGTCAAATGTTTTAAATTCTGTCACGGATACTCGCACGACCATCCAGTAATTGCTTAGGTCGATAATATTGCAATTAATTTTTCTGGTAAGGGGAGGAAAATTAACGTCATCCGAGTTTTATTAACGCGTTCCATATGTCGTCAACAATGGTTTGTCTCCGTTGTAATTAAATATCGACGAACGACACGCCATACTTTCGATGCCAACCGTTATGGATCGAAAACAAAAATTAGCTTGTTAGTCTCTCGGGAACTCGTTCCTCCTCATAGAAGTGGAAGTGTTGGGTTTATAATGGGTTGTAATCACTTACAGTAATCGTTAATTACAACCGAAAGAGAGAGGAATGATCAAAGATGCACGACATAAAGTGATAACCAAGAGTTTAGTGAGGAAAGAATTTGAAGAGAGGATGCAAAATTCCACAGAGGAGACACTACAAGTCAAACGTGCATTTTTCTACGAAATATTGTGTGACAATTCAAGAAAAAGATCCTGATATTGATGCCAAAAATTAAACAAACTCCCAAAGTATAAAGTTTTGTGTGATTTAAATTTGCAAAGAAAAAAAATGAAGAACACGTAATATCGATAATCTCTTTGATAAGATAAAACTAAAATTTTAATTAAAATTCGTATAAAATAACAATAAAAATTAAATTTAATAAGAGAATATTCTCAAAGTATAAACGAATAAAAAAAATAAAATAAAACAAATTTTTTTTGTTCGAAAATAATTCGTATTTATGCAACAAAAATAAGTACAATATTCATAATAATACCGGAAGTGAAACACGTTTACTTCCGGGAAGAATGGAAATTTAAAAAATTCTACTTCCGTCTCTGCCAACAAAAAAAGAGGAAGTCAGCACATTTTACTTCCGGTTTACTCCGCCGTAAACAGGAAGTTACAATGTTTTATTTCCGATAAACAAAAATTCGTCCGGACGAGAAAATATTGCGGTACGCTCGACTCGTCCGGATGTAACCAACGACGATGTTCCGTTATTCCGGGAGGGGATGAAGTGTTTACGGTTACGTTCCGAGGGGGGAGAGCAAAACAAAAGAAAGGCCAACGGGCGCCGGCGAGAAGAGAGAAAAATGGGAGGATGGGGGAAGAGGAGGAGGAGGAGATGTTTTCACTCTCAATAACACGCGTCGTTGGGGAAGATGGATCGAGCCGGTCCTCCGCATCAGTTAATTGATCGGAAAGCGTGACACGGGGCCACCCCACCACTCGGCGTCACCCTCCTTCCGACTTCTCTATCGGAATTCGATATTCCGGCTCCACCACGAAAATTGTTTCCAAAATTAAAAAGCAACCGTAAATATTTTACTTTCCTCGTTCGTTCGAGTCGTGATTTTTATGTGCATATCGATTTTTTTTCTTTTTTGTTTTATTAAAAAAGAAAGAAAAAACCCCTCTTCGCGGGGGAAGAAGAAGATTTAAATGGCTCTCCTGAAAAATACGAAACGGAGCACCCCCTTTTTTTATTATTTTTTAAAGAAAGAAAGAAAGAAAAAAATAGTATCTAAATGAATCAAATATTCATTCGAAATTTCGCTTTTGTAATTTAGATGCATCCCCGCCAATAGCGATTTTATCGTCACGCTTTTTTTCTTTGTGTTACGACTAATAACGTTACTTCGCTCCCCATCTTCTCGTATATTAAATTCGATTCTTTCTTCTGTGGACAGTTTCCTCTACTTCCGTATGATGAATTTTATTATTTTCCATTTTTTTCATAATAATAATAATAATAAATGAATCGAATATTTTGTATAAGTAAAAACTTATTATTCCGTTTTCTCCCTCTCGGATCTTAAAGAAGCAAACTGAGAATGTTAAAAGTGAGGGGGAGTTTTTTTTATGTGTTTTCTCTTTTTATTTTATTATTCTGTTAGATAGAGAAACGTTCGTGCAAGCAGCGGAAGTGCCACACCCAACCGGAACTAGAAGAGGAAACGAGCCGTCGACGCATTTAGAATTTACGTAACTTCCGCTCTGTATCTTCTTATAAGTAAATATCTTGTTTAAGGATATCAAAACAGATTGTTTTTTATTATTATTAAAAGGTATAAAGTGGCAAGAATATAGTTTACTCGGGTGTAATGCCGTTTTTTTCCTTCCCACTCTCTTGGCTCTCTTTGCAACGAGTTGAATGATAACTTACAGAATTGGAGTATTTTTTTTTTTTTTCGTTTATCTCTTCCAAATTTTGATGACTAAGGCGATTTTTCTACATATAGAAATTGCAAAAGACAACAAAAGAAGTGCCACGCCCCACCGGAACCGGAAACGTGCAGTAGCCTAGTTTAGAAATTTCGAAAACTTCACTCCCTATCCTTTCTACATAAAAATGAGTTAGTTGCAAAAAGAAAAAACATTTTGTAAATGGTTCGATTCTCTCCCGAAGGCTGTTAGAAGAGGGTCGAAATGCGTGACGTAGTTTTTGTACCGTTGGCGTTGGTAGAACAACGGAAACTCTATCTCGAAGTGCAGCTTGGTGCGCATTATACACGGTCGGGCGACTTCTTCCGAGCTCGGCGGTCCGAAAGGGCCGAGGGGAGGTGTGGCCGAAGAGCGTGGCAAAATCGGGAGAGGGGTGATGGAAGAAGAGGAGGAGGAGGAAGAGGAGGAGGATGGGGGATCGACGTGTGGGAGGCGTAATAATAATTCCCGACATGTGAAGGGGGTGGTGTATCCGCAAGCGACCGAAAGGCGACTCCAGTCGATAGAAACGGGTAGAGTCTTATCGCGTGTGTAGAGCAGAGAGCTGGCCTCACGTCACAGGTGATGGATGGACGGCGGCGAAAACGGAGGGAAGTAGCAGGTGGCCTCGGTACGTAAACATTAAAGGTCATCGATGCCTCCAACTTTCTCCCTACTTGTTAATCGTATTTCTGTATTAAATGTTTTTCTAACGTGATAAATTGATATTAGTCCCCGGGAGGAAGTCGAACCTCCCGCGGTTCTTACCCACCCTCTACCGGAACCGGAACCGACCCTCTCTTTTTCTCCCATTTATTTATTTCCTGTATAACAAAGTATGTATTGGTTAAAGGGTGAACGGATGTTGCCTCCACCCCACAATAATCGAATATGGTCTGTGCTAACGTAGTGGGATCAAACTCGCGTGTTAAAAAATCTTTTCCTCTGTTAGAAACGTGAGTAATGTCGAGATAGAAAAAAAAACCCCCGCAGATCCAAATTTTTTCCTCTGTTGTATTATAATACAACTATTCAAAATTACGTATCATCGCGACAGATATATATATAAGGACGTTGATTTAATCGATATTCCACAAATCTATAAATTGTATGAGGACATTTATAGTGTAATTTATCGTTTCTAAGTAGGAATGAATGTCATAGAATTAGAATTTATTCATTCCTCACCTGTACAAAAATGCTATAAAACGATGTTTTAATACTCTAAAACACTGGCAGAATTTTGAAAATTTAAAACAGAATTATCAAAATTTTAAGTGAAAATTTAAAATTCTAAATCTCCAATCGTTTCGTCTAGACAATTTAATTCTTATTCTGAATCATTAATCAATTCTCGAATTAAATTTTCTCTTTTCTAGATAAAGTTCTGCATCTTTAAAAATCCGAAAATTTCGTCTAGACCCACGAATTGGCCATTCAATTCAAGCTTTTAATAACTGTCTAAACTACTCTAACCGATTGGAAGTTCAAATATTCTAAGTCATTCTTCATAGAAAAAATTGTTCTTGCATTTCGTTTAGATCAAAATGTTCTTAAAATATCTTAAAAGTTCGATTAAGTCTTCGAAGAAAACAGAAAAAAATACTGCACTTTCTACTA